TTTGTACAGGACCTGAAGAGAAAGGTTTGATCAGGCCTTTTGTTGTGGATGCCATCCAGGAAGCCAAACGACTCGTCGATGACTCTTATTTGTACTCTCGTCAAACGTGAGTCAACACTTCTTCAACAAATTATGTCAGAGCATACTTAGACCTGTGGATGTTCTTATGTAGCAAAGTTGTTCGTCCATGAGTCTATGAAAATGTGAACTGTGTCAAAGCTGAAACTCTAAGAACAAGATAATAAAGAGACATAGAAAACGAGAAGCAGAGGACATCAGAACTGCTGCAGGAATACAAGACTACAGAAATACTGGCAACCAAAAAAGAAATATGATCTAATATAAATGCACAGATGATAGAGACACAATATAGACAATAACAAGGGGAAACAAGGATGCGTAGAGTACAATGATCAGAGGGGTGTGGTCATACTGAATTATTGTGCTTTATCATACTGAATTATATTTGTTTTGTGTGTGTTTGTACGTGGGGGTCTACAGGAGCCTTGAGAGGGTGCGCAGGAACGATTTCATCAAGCCGTCTGATATACTGCGTCTGATGAAGCAGCCGAAACGGAAGGCGCGCGATGCTGTGAGAGCTGCAGATTACCTGGAGCAGACGCTGAGGATCATCTCAGAGAAAACACACCACGCACACAAGAGATCTATTAATGCCACAGGTCTGACACTCACAGTCATAAGGTTTTAAAATCACCGCCCAACGCTGTTGCCCATATCATACGACAGCTACCGACTAGGGACTAGGTCTAACACACACCTCCACCGAAACACATGAAGACGGCCAAGCATAGTGTTGAACTGCTTTTGAACTGCTGCTCATGATGAGTCGCATGCAAGCAGTACAACCTCGGAGGAACGTACTAGCCCTCCTCCGCATACATGCGCTCACAGATGCCCGTGATTGACCATTTGCCTCAATTGACTCCCAGTCATGAATGGCTGTAGCATCATCACAATTCAAACTCTTTTCCAGACGTATCTAACACCCTGTATATTACACAAATAGCATACAAACACTGTAATTAAAGCACTACAGTGGGCTGTAAAATAATTATTATAGTCTGTCTTGTGACTTGGGGCTCCAAGTGAGAGTATATGTTGTCACAGATGTACAGGATTTTTTTCACTCAGCCAGATATATCTGCATCACTGCTGTTTATATGTAGCCGTAAAAGGGTTTGAAATACTTCAACTGTCTTTTGTTCAACACTAACATACAATTTATGTGTGTGTGTGTGTGTGTGTGTGTGTGTGTGTGTTCACCATGTTTATCTGTTCTCTCTCTCAGCACTGCTGTCTCATGAAGAACTCGAGACGATCGAGCGTCTGACCGGTTGTGCCGGGCAAACCCTACCGCCTCCATGCAGAACCTTGCCGGATCTGAACAGATATCGCACGGCCAACAGCGTCTGCAACAACCTGTGAGAGACGCACATCATAACAGGAACGCACTCATAAATTCGATAGGTTCAGTCTTAAATAACGACATTCTGCCATCGTCACTGCCACCATGCTAGACAGGGTTCAGCAGACGGTTAGTGTAATAAATAAACAAACATATATTTTATTGCTCTGAGGCTTGAAGAGATTATTTTGCTAAAACAAGACAAAAAAATCTAGCATGAGTTTACTTCTAGATCATTCCATGTTTCCACATCTTTAGTGCTTGAATTGAATTGAATGGATATGAGTTGAAGACGTTCCTCAACTGATACTCAACGTACTTAATGCTGTGATATTAGAATATCTGATTTTTTGCTTTGAAATCTGGCAGAATAAATCCACTTCGAGGTGCTTCAAACACAGCGTTCACCCGCTGGCTGCCTCCTGTTTATGAAGATAACGTCTCCCAACCTCGAGGATGGAACACAGAAAGGCTCTATAATGGTGTTGTGCTACCTCTGGTATGATAGAATGCTACAGCTTGTCATTAAAATTAATTACTTTTACATAGCAGTTAATTACGTGGCACGGTTTGTGTCCTTGTATTTTCAAGAGTGTGTCCAGATTTTAGACATGGGGTGTAGGCAGGGCAAGAGCCAGTAAGTACATAGGTACATGGAACAAAGCACAACGTATTCACAGTAGCTTGCGAGAGTATGGAGTCCACTTGTGTGGAAATCTGTCGATCAAGAGCATGATTATGTTCAGTGCTTACAGGAGGCATTAGTCAGAGAAGCAGCTAAGAGGCCAAGGGTAAAGCTCAACAAGGTGCTACCACCACCATGCTTCACTATAGGGATGGTGGTCTCAGATTGATGAGCAGTGTTGGGGTTACGCCAAACGTACCTTTTGTGGAGTGTCTAGTCTATGGTTGTCCTGAGCTGTTGATCTCTCCAGCTATCCTCGGTTGCTTCTCTAGTTAATGCCTTCCTTTACCTGGTTGTGGATTTTAATTGACGGCCTCATCTAGGCATTTCACAATTCTGCCATATTCTTTGCTTTGTTAAGTTTTGGGTCTGGTTTTACATTTAACTTTTGCAATTTTACTTTCCCTAAAGCCGAATATCAATTCTTGTCCCTGTTTTCGTGTGTCCTCGTCCAGGTGAGGCTGGTGTCAAATCGCATTTTCAGCACCCAGGACCAAAATGTTCAAGGAGACACCGAGTACACACTCTTAATCACCTTCTTCGGCCAGTGGAATGACCACGACCTGTCCTTCACCCCCTTTTCTCCCAGCATCCGGTCCTTTAGCAACGGCATTAACTGTGATGAAAGCTGCGAACGATCCGAGCCATGCTTCCCCATCCAGGTCCATAGACACGCACACACACGCATAAACACACATGTGCGCACTCACGCCAAGTTCTAAGACCTCAAGGGTAGCCACCATAAAATATACATGTTTTAACCTGTATTTAAAAATAGCTCAATTTGAGATATTCTGCTTACAACTCAATGTGTTTGAGGCTGGATTAATGTGTTTGTTCTTTGTGTTGTTAATGTTTAGAGCAGGGGTGTCAAACTCATTTTAGTTCAGGAACCACAAACACCCTAATTAGATATCAAGTGGGCCGGTCCTGTAAAATCATAGCATAATTACCTATAAATAACAAACAATAAGTCCACGTTTTTCTCTTTGTTTTTGTGCAAAGAAGGACAAGTACATTAGTAAAATCTTTATATTTAATGAAATATCCTTTTACAAAACATCATGAACAACCTCAGATTTCTTAAGACAAACGTGCAATTTGCTTCTGATTATCGCGTTGCGCATTGCTGCCATCTGCTGTTCGGTCTGAGTTCCAGAATTGTACCGCGTCTTCTGCTTTGACTACAACAGTGCGCCCCTAGCGGATAATTTAGAAATAGCACCTTATTAAAAATTTGTAGTTCGAGTCTTTTATGCATTTTTTTCAATTTCAAAATTCATACTGCGGGCCGGATTGAACCCCTAGCGGGCCGGTTGTCTGACACCCCTGGTTTAGAGGTTATAGGAGTTATAGGAGGAGTTGAATTGGTTCTGAGGGACCATCCCTAATGTTTGGGATAAATAAATCAACAAAAATTACATTAGTCATCCTTGAGTAACTTTTTTTCTTTTCCAACATTTTACTCAGATTCCTAGAGATGACCCACGCCTGCCCTCCGGTCCCAACAGCTGCCTCCCTGTTTTTCGTTCTGCGCCCGCCTGCGGCTCTGGAAACAGCGCGTACATGTTTGGAGGTGTTCCGCGGGTACGGGAGCAGATGAACACTCTGACGTCATACCTGGATGCAGGCCAGTTGTATGGCTCTGAAGAGGGGCTCGCTCGAGAACTCCGAGACCTCTCGAACGACGGGGGCCTCATGCGAATCAATGACAGATTTCGGGACAATGGCCGCGAGCTGCTGCCCTTCACCAAGATGGTCAGCAAGATGTGCGCCACACGCAATCGCATTCTGAACACCACAGGACTGGAGGAAGTACCCTGTTTTATCGCAGGTGGGGTTTGTGATGAAAAAACTTTTACATTTATGAGGAACAGAAAACCAACCAGGACAAACATCGCTACCTTTTAGTTCCTGGTTTGATCCTGAGTTCTGTATGTTCCGCTCACTGTCCATACAGTTACAGTAGGATTGACTATATGAAATTGCCCCTAGGTGGGAATGAAGGTGTGAATGTGTGTGTGCATGGTGCCCTGTGATTGTCATCCCATCCAGAGTGGACATATAGTACATTTATGGCATTTGGCAGACCCCCTTACATATATCCCATTTATACAACTGAGCCATTGACAATTAAGGGCCTTGCTCAAGGGCCCAACACTGGTAGCTTGGTGGTACAGGGATTTGAACTCATGACCTTCTGGTCAGAAGTCCAATGTCTTTACCACTGAGTTACCTGCCACAGTACACAAGTCTTGCGACAGACAAGGACAATATTGACTCTTTATTTAATACAGAGATTGTGAAATCACATCAGGCAAGTATTTGATGATTTGGGCATATATTTACAGAAAACATTTTGCATGAGATGGTCTTCCACTACTTGTTAGCTACAATAATAATAATAAAAAAAGATCACTGTCAGATAAGTGAAAGTACAACCAGTTAAGAGCACTTAATGTCCGCAGGCGATGAGCGTGTGGATGAGAATATCGCTCTCACTTCAATGCACACACTCTTCCTGCGAGAACACAACCGGCTCGCACGTGCTCTGCGCCGCCTGAACCCACAATGGACCAGTGAACAGCTTTATCAGGAAGCTCGCAAAATCGTGGGAGCCTACCATCAGGTACTGCACACACACACAAGCGTTGCTCAACCATAGTACATTCACTGTCAAGCTATTGATAGATATTAGATTTTAGCCTTACATTTTCTAACACCAATGGCTTTGAACTTATACATATTTTACCCTCTGTTAAAGACATCCATTACATTTAAGACATTTTAGCAGACACCCTTATACAGAGCGACTTACATTTATCTCATTTGTACAACTGAGTAATTGAAGGTTAAGTGCCTTGCTCAAGGGCCCAACAGTGGTAGCTTGGCAGTATTGGAGTTTGAACTCCTGACCTTCTGAGCAGTAATCCAGAGGCTTTAACCCCTGACCCACCACTGCACTCATCCAATTGTTTGTCTGGTTAGTTTTTTATTATTATGACAGACCACAGTAATTAATGCCTAAATGCATGTAATTCCAAACTTAATTGTAATAATTCTGCACATTTACCATCTACAAATCGATTCTAGTCACTCAACCAAGATCTGTTTGGTGTCTGGTGCTTTCTTTTTAAGATTTGTACCAGTTCTTAAGCTAAGAAACTTATAGAACTAACATGTAATGTAAGTTACAAACATCCTGATGTGGTTTAGGACGTAGTGGGACTTCTAAACATGCTATAATAATATTAAGGCAGCCATCTTGGACCACTAGGTTGTTGTTGTTGTTGTTGTTGTTGTTGTTGTTATACCAAGGATTGAAGGTAATTACAGTAATATAGAAAGCTAGAAGTTAAGTAGACAATAATATATTGATAATATAAATAAATGTAAATACACCAGTTTGTGGACACCATGCTTTTTAAACATCCCATTTTTTTGCTGGGGGCATGGTGGCTTAGTGGTTAGCACGTTCGCCTCACACCTCCAGGGTCCGGAATTCGATTCCCGCCATGTGTGTGCGGAGTTTGCATGTTCTCCCCATGCTGCAGCGGTTTCCTCCGGGTACTCTGGTTCCCTCCCAGTCCAAAGACATGCATTGTAGGTTGATTGGTGTGTCTAAAGTGTCCGTAGTGTATGATTGGGTGAGTGAGTGTGTATGTGATTGTGCCCTACGATGGACTGGCACCCTGTCCAGGGTGTACCCTGCCTTGTGCCCGATGCCTCCTGGGATAGGCTCCAGGTTCCCCGCAACCCTGAAGAAGGAATAAGCGGTTGAAGATGGATGGATGGATGGATGGATGGATGGATGGATGGATGGATTCTTTTGCTGTTATTATAACCTTCAGTCTTCTGTGAAGGAGAAAAATCTAGTAGACTTTGGAGCATGACTGTGTGGATATAATGACATTCTATGCAATTGTGTGCTTCTATACTTTGTGGCAACATTTTGGGGAAGACCCACATATGGGTCTGACGGTCAGGTTTTCATATACTTGGCCATATAGTGTATCTTCTATCACTACCATTTTATAACATTATTATATTCTATACTGGCATTATGTAGCTTTGGGAAAAACAACTTTTTATCTTATTTAAGATCCTTACAGTCAAAGTCCTGACTCACAGTAAATTTTCATGCCGTTTTGCAGAACATAGTGTTTAGGGATTATCTGCCACACATCGTGGGAACTGACGCCATGAGGAGGCAGCTCGGCAGATATCCCGGCTATAACGCCAACGTTGACCCGACCATCGCCAACGTTTTCGCCACCGCTGCTTACCGTTTCGCCCACGCCACCATCCAGCCCGTCATCTTCCGTCTGGATGAAAACTTCCAGGATAATCGCCGGTTCCCCACCGTTCCTCTGTACGAGGCCTTCTTTACACCATGGAGAATTGTATTTGAAGGTGAGTTAACACAATTCAGCTTTTGCTAAATGTTTTGGCATCATGTGTTTTGCATCATGGTGTGATTTTTGACATTAGCATTGAGCACCAGCACAACATCACTTCTTGAGATGTTATTATTATTATAAATTATTATAAAATTATTGTTAAATACTATAAACACACCCATTCAGTATAATAGGAGATCACATGGTGCGTTCAGAATGGAATTTGAGAGTGACTTTGTGAGAAGGCGATTGAACAGTATGTTGTTTAAGAGGTTAAAGTTATGTTGCTAGGCAACTGGGAGATATCTATATATATCCCAACATCTTTAAAAAAAAAAAAAAAACAAAAACTTTTTTTTAAAAAAATCTCCATACACTTATGTACAGAGTTTTATAAAAAAAAAAAAAAAAAAAAAAATATTTTTTTTTTTTAAAATTAAAAAAAAAAAAAAAGTTTTTCTTTCTCTAACTTATTGTGTTTTTCACTAATCTGTAATCTGTAAAATTATCCTGATACCATCACACTCACCTGAACTGATTAAGTGGGACCGAATTAAGCTGTCGTCAGGCAGAAAGGAAGCTGGTATACTGTTCAAAAGTGCTATTCCATCACCCGCAAAATCTCGCCAGCGACACCTGGGTTCCCTCAACCTGCAGAGAGGCCGAGACCACGCCCTGCAAGGTACAAACACGCATGCACTCACACACACACACACATCATGGATAGACAGGTACGCACAGAGAAAAACAGACAGAGATGCTTAAAAGACAGGCAGATAAACAAATTGACAGATAGATTAGACAGACAAACAAACCGGATAAACAGACAGTCATATAGAACACAGACGTACAGTACATGGCCTAGACCCATAAACTATTCATAAATAAATTAATAAATCGATCAGAGGGACCATCATAACGTTGGGAAATTGAAAATAATTTGCAAAGAGGAATGAGCCTTGTGCAACTTGTACAAAACCGCTGAAAAAAGATAATCACTTCACGTCAATCACTTGGATCAAAAATCAATTTGAAGTGGATAATATAAGATTGATCACACACTGGGGAAATTCCCCCGTTACAGCAGCTCAATTACACAATCAACAGATAGGAAAGAATACACATTCATAGTGCAGAATATTGTGAACGTGTTGGCTGATGATGCATTAAAAAATCTGACTGCTGTAGGGATGAAGGACGCTGGAAGTATATTAAACAACAAACACAAAAGTGTCCAAATACTTACTTCCCCTCACTATGGATTGACAGGTCTGCGTTCACAGAACAGCACACCGCTGAACGTATTTTCTTCTGTCCATTAGGCTATAACGCATGGCGGAGGTTTTGCGGCCTGTCTACGCCTAGGAATGTTGCTGAATTGGGGCGTGTGCTGAATAACGTAGGTCTGGCGCAAAGAATCCTCCAACTCTATGGCAGTACCGAAAACATCGACCTCTGGGTGGGCGGCATTGCCGAACCGTTTGTCCCCGGAGGCCGAGTCGGACCGGTGTTCTCCTGTATCATTGCCACCCAGTTCCAGAGGATTCGCCAAGGAGACAGGTAACGTGTTTAAATAGTGTACGCATCCAGTCAAAATAACGTACCACATCACAAACATCAGCATAATGATATTATACAATAAGTGAATAACTGAAGAGGTGAAATATCCAGTTAAACACTGTAAGCATCCCAAATATAAGTGACTAGTCAAGGCAATGTTGGAATGATGCTTGTGTCATGAACTGAAGATCAGACGACTTGGACTTGTTGTTTTTTGTTGTTGTTGTAGAAAAATCTTAGATAAACAATTAATTTGGGTCTCTTTCATTTCTGCACCCAGGCTCTGGTGGGAGAACATGGGTGTTTTCACGCCAGCACAGAGAGCCTCACTGTCTAGAGTGTCTCTAGCTAGCATCATCTGTGACAACACGGGCATCAGCAGAGTTCCTAGGAACCCTTTCCTCTTTAGTCGCAACCAAGCAAACTTTGTCGACTGCAGAAGCATCCAGGGGCTTGACCTCAATGCTTGGAGGGAGTCAGGTAAGTGAGATCTATACAAATATAAAATCCTTTGAATGTCTTTATCATTTTAAATGTCACCGCAGTTTCTTTATTTTTTAGCTAAACCAATAGAATATACGGTAGGTCTATATCATCCATCCATCCATCCGTCTTCTATACCGCTTATCCTTCCTTCAGGGTCACGGGGAGAACCTGGAGCCTATCCCAGGGAGCATCAGGCACAAGGCGGGGAACACCTTGGACAGGGTGCCAATCCATCGCAGGAGGCCTATATCACTGGTAATTTAATCTCACATTTTGGCCACAACACAATTCCAAACCGGCGCATGGTGGCTTAGTGGTTAGCACGTAAGCCTCAAACCTCCATGTTCCATGTTGCATGTTCTCCCCGTTCTGCGGGGGTTTCCTCCGGGTACTCCGGTTTTCTCCCCCAGTCCAAAGACATGCATGGTAGGCTGATTGGTGTGTCTAAAGTGACTGTAGTGTGTGAATGTGTATGTGATTGTGCCCTGCGATGGACTGGCACCCTGTCCAGGGTGTACCCCGCATTGTGCCCGATGCTCCCTGGGATAGGCTCCAGGTTCCCTTGCAACCTTAAACAGGAGTAAGCGGTAAAATATGGATGAATGGATGGACAATTCCAAGCTGTAAGGGTTGTATCTAAGCGTTGTATCTGGCTCAAGGAACTTTCCGATTTTCAGACATTTAATCCATCTGCTTTTCGGGGTGATCTAAGAACATTTGAATGTAATGTTTGCGAACATTACTCCAGTTTCTGAGGCAACGATCATTATCGTTTCCTCAATGCTCGTTTTTGTCTAACTTTAAATGCTGTGTATATATATATATATATATATATATATATATATATATATATATATATATATATATATATATATATATATATATATATATATATATATCACTATAATGTGTAAATCACAGCTCGTGTTACTGACAAAAAGGATCATAGTCTGGAGAATAAATATAGTTTGAATGGAAATTTATTGTCGTAGTGATTTTTATATTGTCTCAATGCAGCTGTAGAGACATCCAGACAAGCAGATAGTGGGGATAGAAATTCTCTAAAGTGGAAGGAACAAAGAAAAACCTGGTGAAAACCCAAGACAAGGGGAAACCCACTCCAACTCAAAATCATGAGCTTCTAGGAAGCTGAGATCGGAAATATTGTTCATATGCAATACACATTGATAGTTTGCTATGAGGATACCGATATCACTCAAATACGTTTATTGTAGGTAAAAGAGACGTGTCAGTCATGATTGCAGGGCAGTGCCATTTTGATGAGCTCCATCCACTAATAAGCATGTACAGAATGTAGTGGCAGTTTCCAGCCTCGATTGCCTTTTTTAAAAAGCTTTTTCTGTTTAAAATGATCATTCTTAGCTTATTAATGGGTTCAAAAAATACTGTGCATTTAAAATACTGTGTGTCGTTGTGTGTGGTCTCGGTTGTGTTGGCTTACCTTTGGTGTTCGTCCTTCTAGATTACAGCTCCAGTGAAACGGCATCTGATGGAAACGAGGTCAGTTAAGTGTTTCTTACCAACTCTTACACTCTGAATCTATTGAGAAGAGATTATAAAATGCTTGGACTGAACAGGGGACTGTAGGAAGTGATTGTGTGTGTGTGTGTGTGTGCGTGTGTGTGTGTGGTTGTCTGAGAGTGAGAAAGAGAAAACATACTAGTGGCTGGGATGGGCTTGGTGGCTCCGACCAAATGATTGAGTCCCCCCAGGCGCCCCCTGGTGGCCTCCATGGGGGCCGCAGCCCCCACTTTGAAAACCACTGCTTTATTCATCAATTTCTCGAAGCACCTTTAGCAGCAATCACAGCTTTGAGTCTTCCTGGATAAATCTCTATAAAGTATTGCACACCTGGATTGGTGCAGCTGCTCCCATTCTTCCGTGCAGACATGTGCCTTTGCTCAGATCCATGTCTTAACACGGTGTAATCCAAGTAGTCTACAGAGCTATCTACAGAGAGATGTCTGTGTATTAATGTCAGAGAAGTTCATTTCATTGATTTTAAATTCAATCTATAACACAATGATGTGCAAAAATTGAAGGGGTCTGAATTC